CAGTCACTAGGTCCCTTTCTGCCCATTTATTAAACCTAAATTTTAAAGTCAGCCAAATTTAGAATAAAATGTTTTCTCGTCCAAAAATCTTATAACTCTAATTCAAGTGCCCCCACTTGTGTTAACCTTTTGCAGTAGGTGTGTAATCTGGATGTTAGTTTGGTTTATATTTGAGCTTTTAAAATTTTGAGTTTCTATTAGATTTAACAACCATATGTGATTTTGGACTGGTCTGGGAAAAAACATATAAGAACACAGAATAAATATTTCATGCCACGGGATTAGAATCGTTTAAAATTTATAGAGATTGAACAACTTAAGTTTATAATCATCTTCATATATAGTATATAGGATAGGATAAAATGTAGTCTATAACACAAGAAATATAAATAAAAATGTACAGATTTGAGCATTAAAGAAAGGGACAATTTATGACTGAAATGGAGTTCACGGATTGTGTGTTGGCCTATGCGACACAACGACAAGTCTTAGTTGTCCCATTGAGTTTGGTGAGAGATGAATTCATTTACACGCATCCAAAATATACACATTAATAACTTATCAAACTCCTTAATCTAAACCATCATTCTACGAAAATGCTTCTCGATAATTCTTTTTGTATCAATATTGTTACACATAATCATTATGTAACCATGGTTATAAAATAGCTACCATGGTACATAATACACATTCCTTAAACAAACCTAAAAGACTAAAAAAAAAGATAACACAGACTGATAGTATTTTATGAATCAAATTACAAAACATCTGAAAGCAAATCTTACCTTCATTAAATGTATTATCATCTTATTGAAATACTTATTCTTGAGGATTAATCAAACTTCTTACACTCTCAGCCACACATCTTCTTAGGAAATCAAACCTGGGATTTGAACAGGGAAGTATGAGTTTTGGTTGAATCGAAAAAGGATGATTGTGTTTTCAGCTACTTTAGCTTACTTGGGCGTGTTCGGTTTTGTATTTCTGAAGCTCTTCTTCTGCACAAATGAGCCTATGAACACACACACACAAAAAGAAGAAAGAATGTTAGATTTTAAACTACAAACTGAGAGAGCTACGCTGGTTTTGATAGTAAGGGGAATTGTCGAACTTACCTCCATTGCAGATCGGTTATGTCGTGGAGCAACTCTTTCTCTCTTTCGTGTGCAGCTTCAAGCTGTGATTCAACAGAAGAACAATTTTGCTAAGTTTCATTTCTTTGGAGGAATGTGATTTAACAGTTTTTTCTTTTTGCGTCAAAACAATTGCATACCATTGATTTCTCAGTAGGAGCTACAGCAGGTTGTTGTACGCTTCCTGATTCAGCTGCACGTCCATCTACATCAGAGAATTAAAAGAAAATTCAAATCCCCGTGGCATGAAAAATGTACTGGAGACGGTAAATGAATGAAAGTTGCGCACGAAATTAACCTGACAACTCTCTGTTGGTGAGTACTTTCATCATATGCAGAATGTTATCCTGTTTTTTTGGGACGATTTAGATTAAGCAATGAACCTTCTTCTCATGGTGAATAGATATAAAGAAAGGGAGTAGAATCTAATGAGCAACGAAAGATTATACCCTTTCCAAAATATTGGTTTGCAGAACTGGATACACCAGCGGGTAAACGTATGAGCTGGTTAGATTTGGTAATGTGACATCAGATCCTATGACAGAGGGAGGTAGAGAAGCAGTCGAATGTTGGCTAAGCACCTACATAACCGCAAATAAAAAATGGTTTTGTTTTTCATTGAGAAATGAATAGTTGTGGTAATAGGACATAAATTGTTTGTGTCTGCAGCTGATCAGGCTGACCTCAAAACTATTACAAACCTGCATGCTGTGACTCTTTTGCAGGACTGGAGATGGAACCACCACCTAATAAAGAGATAGTGAATACAAAAGGAAACCTTAAAAAAGTGAGTGAACAAACAAGAAACCGCTTTTTTTACCTTGTCAATGTCGAGATTTTCAGAAGTTACTTTGAAACGTCCTCTTTGCTGCACAACTGGCGGCTTTGATTTGTCGTCAGATTCATCTAGGCTCGCTGATACCGATACAGTATTATTTAGTTAGAAAAGCATTGATCCACAGGGAAGTTTAGCTTGGCTTTCAAATATATAGAAGTTCTGTCAATGCTTACCTGCTGCTTTGGGTGGTTTAACAGCCAGCTCTGTTGGTACTTCATCTCCTCCCACTATAGGCTGTGTCCCATTGCAGGTTGACCCATTTTGAAGATGATCTTGGGTTTTATCACTGGAAATTCACATATTGATTCAAAATTCAATGTCGCATACATGTATACTCAGTGAATATGAGCTTTCAAGTCAACTTTCAAGAAACAGGTAACGGTTAAACAATAAGACATGAAATCTAAGCCAAACAAGGCTCTTACAATAGCAGTACAAGTTTAAGGACTAACCTCTCTCCTTTATTGGGAGCAACATTTCTATCTGTTAGGATCTCTGTTGGTTGATTGGTTGGGATTGTTGTAGAATCCATTGACTTCCCATTGATTGCATGCGTAGTACCAACAGTTGAACTATTCAAAGATAGATCCTCATGACGAGGAGAGGAATATAAATAGTTATCATAACTGGGGCTGGCAAGGCTTGAATCATCATCAGATTTATCCCTGACCAACCAAATTATGATTTGCTCAGTTTATTCACCTCTAGTAGTTTCAGATAAGTAGATAACAAAACGAAAATTGCAAATAGAGAACAACAGAGCTAAAAATAAGAGATAGACCTCGCGATACTTAGAGTTCGGTGAATTAGGGGTTGGAGATACTTATTTGTCAGTGGACCAATATCCTCCTGCAAAGATTAGGTTATAGAGAACCCTTAAAACCTCGACTCAATACTAAACGAAAATGAAAACAAGGAAACATTTCTACCACTGGAAAATTCCAAAATCTGACAGTATGTAATCTAGAAGTTGAAAAAGATTTCTACAAGAGGATACCTGAGTCTCTGACTGCGTGTCCTGTGAATCTAAAGCCTGCAACGAAGTTGTACTTCCCGAGAAACTGTTCTCCGATAAGCCACAGTCTATGTCCTGGATCTGATGGAAATAAGAACATCATATATGAGGCACAGTGAGATTCACAGTTGGCTACTTTTTATGGCTTAGAGGAGACAAAACTTATACCAATGAAGCCTGGGCTTTCATATCATCGAGATTGAAATTCCATCCACTGATACCTCTCTTATATTCATTCTGCATTTTACTATCACAAGAGGTTAAAGGCTAAATACTCTGCAGAATAATTGAAACTGGAAACCAGAAGTCAAACATTCAAACATAGATAAACAAACCCAAAACTGGAAACTGGAAACACAAACCTGCGACAATTCCTCCTTCTCTCCATCCGCCATTTTCTCTTGTGCAAGCATATCTTCTTCCTTTTTCTGCATGTAGAAAGTATATCCCCATCAGTTTTCATCATAAGATGATGATTGATAATAATGAAGAGCTACGGAATATCTACTTAGTTCTACATATCCAACCTTTATTGCCTGAACACGTTTAACAAGATCTGGTAACCCATCCAGAAGTTTTCGTGCAATGTAATCACTTGACCTTGCTTGCTTGAAAAAGGAATGCTTCAACAACTTTTTGGCAGATGGGCGTTTGGAAGGGTCTTTGACTAGACAACTTGCAATCATCTGCTTGAAAGACTGAAAATCCCAGAAAAGAGGCAAACATTGAGATGATGATAATAAGCTAACAAATCTGACCAGAAAATATAGTTTTGACACCAAAAATATACCCTAGAAAACTTCTTATCTCTTTCATAATCCAGCCCTGGTGGTGCATTTTGCAAGGTCATAAGCAGAACCTGAAACCATATTTGTTTTAGATTGAACTAAAGAATCTGGAGCTGAAAAAATTAGAGATCACAAGGCTATGAACCTTCATTGGTGGATATTTAGAGAAAGGAGCATGGCCATGTGCAAGCTCTAATCCAGTTATACCAAACGACCATATATCAGCCCTGAAGTAGATGTTCAACATAAGAAATATCATAATATTCTTCAAGTAAACATAAGCAAATAAAAATGATACAAGGCTAAACTAACTTGAAGTCATAACCATGTAACTGCTCCATGACTTCAGGTGCCATCCTGTGAAAATAAGAAACAGTAGGTCATGCACATGAGAACTAAATTAAAACTGTTAAAGTCCCTCCACAAAGAAGGAAGAAGGAAACTGTTGTGGCAGTGGTTATCACCTAGCACTTACCAGCAAGGTGTTCCAACAAATGTGTTCCTCGTCCGTTGCCTATCACCTGAATCAAAGAGACAGGCAGATACACCGAAATCTCCCAACTTAATCGAACCTCGAGCACCAAGCAAAATATTGCCCGCCTGAAATGAAGCCATCATAAAACAATCACGACAAAGGATAATCAGTATAGTGCCAATTTATCAATGCAAAGTTGAATTCGCAGCATCATATGATAATGAACACTATCCATAACTACAAAATTACAATGTAACATGAGCTAAAAAAACTGCCAACTAGAGTATATCCATGAAGTTCCGATTACTGACTTTGACATCTCGATGTATGTGACCATGCTGATGGAGATAGTCTAATCCTTTCAACGCCTCGCGCAGTATTGTGGCTATAATAGCTTCCTCAAAACCGTCAGGATATGCAGCTTTTAGTATGTGAAGACAAGAGCCACCAGACATGTATGGCATAACCACCCACAAATTGTGATCACTAACAAAAGAGCAATGTGATTTCAACACATTTGGATGATCAACAAGCATCATCGTCTGCGCTTCACGAGAAATGTTGTTCTGCCAAAACAAAGTATTAGCCTAAGCAAAAGCTAAAAACCAAAACAAATCCTGATTCAGAGAGAGCAAAAAGGCAAAAGCAAGAGAAGAATCTAATTACCAGATCGCAGTTATCTCGTTCGAAATCGAGAATCTTAATAGCAACGACTTCATCGAACGGAATACACATAGCACGATGCACTAAAGCACTAACACCTTGTCCGATTACTTCGTATAAGGTGTAATGCTCTGGCCCAATCGGATACTTCTTCTTCTCCATTGTTTCACTAAAATCGATTCCAAACCCAAAAAAAAAAAACTCAATATCTTATAGTTCCAAATTCCAATTCCTCTCAGCATTTACTAAATTAGAGAGTTTCTGACCTGGGAAATCGCTTTTGGAATCAACTTTTTAGGGGAAGAATCGAAGATTACCTGGAATTGAGCAGCGAAAACTCAAACACAGCTGGAGAATGTTGCTTGGGTTTTAATTCCAGTCAAGCAAATCTACAGAATCAATTTAAAAACAGAAACAAATTAGAGAGATTCAAATAACGTAAAATCTCGTCGTGATTCGCGTAAAGATGAGAGAAGAATTAATGGTACCGGGAAAATCAGGATGTCCATGGAAATAAATAATCAGAAATTGCAGGAAACAAAATTAATGCGAACGAGTGAGAAAAAGGAAAGAGGTAGATATCGTGCTGATGAAGATATTGATGATGATCTTTTTCGTTGAACTTTCTAATCAAAAAATTTCTCGAGAAAATAATTGAAACGAAAAC